TGTCGAGAGGCCGTCTAGAAGCCTCGACACAGTCTGCGTTGTCTCCCATACACGCCGCGCTATTGACGCCTCCTTCCTATTCTTAGCCTAGAGGCGAGAGAGGCACCGTCCCAGCATCTGCTCGCGCGCACGCTGCGTCCTCCTTCTCCCGCATCAAAAGTAGTACCGCCACCACGAGATGGTCGAAGAACCGGTGCGCGAGCGGCTGCATGACCAGCCTTCGGGGATGGCTCAAGTCAAACGTCGCGAGCTCCACAGAGTCGAAGAACGCCTGCCAAGTGCCCAACGTGAGTGCCACAATGGTTTCCGACAACCCTCATGCTCACCTCCCATCTTGTCTCTCCCAGATTCCACCGGATTGCGGTGCCGTCGCCAATGTAGTACATCTTCGCGCTGCAGTACATCCATGAATTCGCTTCCTCGGGTGGAAGCAGTATGCACGCACCCTAGCGTTCTCGACAATACATCTCTTGATTTCCTGCTGGTATCCCCCATCGTGATTGTTGCACCCACTGTCGCCGACCCCGATCTAGACCCTTGTGTCAATCGTCGTCCGCAAACAGAAAATACCGCACTTACTCGATCTCGGCGACCACCAGCCCATCTTCTCCTCCCCGGCGCACAGTCGTCACCCACGACCGCAACGTCCACACGTTCATACCCACTCCGATGTGATATCGCCACAATCCCAAGCTCCCCGCGAGGTTCTTCCCTTCCGTCTCCAGCGTCATCCCGAATGGACCGGCCTGCGCAAACCGATATGTCACCTCGTGCGCCGGATAGGTCATGCTCGAATAGGTCGGTGGAAGCCCATGGTCATGTTCATGTTCGCGCCCTGGCGGCGACTCGTCTAGGCGCGATTCCTCAAGCTCCGGCAGGCCCAGCGCCTGCGGTCTCAGGCTCGGCTTCCTTCGGCGGCCCTCTGCGGACACTGAGCGGTTTGAGCTGAGGGACGCCGACCGCGCCCTGCTAGGGCTTCGTGGCGGCACTGGTGGCGGCGGTTGTGGCAAGGCCTTCGCAGGTGGGGCGGGCGCGACGTCGGTGCAGCTCACGAAAGTGTTAGTCGTGCCCGTGCTCTCGCGCAGGTCGCGCGAGTGCGCGGCGGGATGTTTCTGCCCCTCGAGGATCGAGAGCGTGAAGCTCCGCTCTAGCGACACTTCTTCTTCGCCCGGCCGTCCCTCTCCCAGCCCCCCCAGTGCGCCCAGTCCCCCGCGGACGCTACCCGGATTGCTCCAAAACGCGCCGCTGCCGTCCGAGAGCTCGATGTCGAGCGTGGGCCCGGGCAGGGGGCGGCGCGCCGCGCTCGGGCGGTGCATGAGCGAGAAGCGGCTCTTCTTCGGCGCGTCGGGTGTCCCGTTCATCGAGGACACGCTCTTCCATGCCTTGAGCAGGGACATCGTGGGCGATATGTTGCAGCGTACTCAGCCTTGTGCCCCTCTCCTCGCCTCTTGAGTGTCGTCAGGTGCGTGTCGTCGGAGAGATGTGTGGTGGAGCGCGGGTCTGGGCGAAGACGATGAGGTAGCGACCGGTGGTACGCCGTGTAATGCTCGGGAGAAGAGTCGAAGAGTTAAGAGGTCGATGGCGCGGGCCCCCCTAGCAGCGCTGCGCTCCACCGCACGCCGTCTTATGTACCACCCAGCCTTCTTCGCAGCGTGGCGCAACACGCACAGGATCCCTCCCGACCGGAGTCCCATGCGACGACGTCCGCCCCGCGCCGGGGCGTGTCATTGTCAAGCCTACGCCGCAGATACCAGCGCGGCCCCGTCCCTGTGCGCCGTGGCATATTAGCATCCTCTGCACCGCTCGCGTTTCAGCTGTGCGGCGCGACAGCGCAAATGATGATGTCGGGGCACTGGCCTCGTATGTCCTGATGGTCGTCACTTTCCCAGTGCGCGATTGGGTGCGTGGGCTCGCGCCCTGGGAGAGTGGACAAGGTTTGCTGCGGGGCGAGTGCGCCGCGGCGAAGACATACCACGCTCGTGCGAGCGTGTGGGGGGCGCATGGACGCGCGGACGTGCATATGGATGTATTGGCTCCCAGCGCGCGGAAAGGAGTTTCGGCGGACCTACGTTGCTAGGGTGTATCGCGACATGCATGTGTGGCTGCACTGGGTTTTAGGAGGAGGAAGCAATGTATGCGCCAGTTCCACAGCGCTGTGTGGCGAGCACAGGCCTCGCGCTGCTCGAATGGCGACGAGGAGCAGATGAAGCAGCGAGACTGAGACAAGCTCACGGAGTTCCCGACGCTGGGACACAGCGATCGGAGATCGAGATCGGACGGTTGGTAGCGACAGATCGCATCCGATCTCGCCCACGTGGCACCGCGCCCGCGCTCAAAAGCGACGCCGCCAGCGCGCTCAGCCCTTTTCTCCACGCACCTCACGTCAAATTGCAGACCGCTCACCCTGTCGTCCTAACCGGCGGCGGGCGCATGGCTAGTCTGTGCCAAAGCAGGGCGGAAAACGACTGCGGATGTCTCAGCGTTCTACGCTGCTCGGGCTCGCCTCGCTGGAGGAGCAGGACCGGTGATTCGTACATTCTCTTCTCTTGTCGTGCTGGGCTTTGTCATGTATACTACCCGCTTTTCAGGAATCGAGCCCCTTCCGAGTCCTATCATGCTTGTGGTGTGGGCGCCGGCGCACAGCCTTATCGACCCAGCTGAAGAAGATCGAAGGATCGACGGACGTTTTCTACATGCTATAGGCCATGGGAAAGTTGCGACATGATGCAAGCCACCGAGATCATTGGGCATACCCTTGTTCTTTCGCTACCGTCAACACGTCCACCTCTCGACTCTCCCGGATGGATACCGTACGGCGATTCGTAGATAAACTCAAGAAAAAGCGGGAAGCTCGAGTCGCTGCGGTTCCACTGGTGATCAGAGCCGCTGAAACTTATGTCGACCGTATCCCTCCTGCGCCCATTGGTGTCATCAGTGGCGATATGAAGAAATGGGCGCACCGTGCTAAAATCACCCTCGGGACCAGGGAAGGCGTCTGGTGGTTCAGCGGTGATACTCTCGTCAGGGCCCAGCAGGGAGGGGGCCGGGTCGGATTGCACTTCCACGGTGGCAGTTATGTACGAGGAAGCGTAACGGACGTACTCTCTGGCTTCGCTCGTAAGTGCTTGCTAGATTGTCTGCAGCGTTTCCTCTGACATGGCTCGCACATACACATGCATAGGTATACCCCGCGGCTTCGTTGAGGTACGTATGCACACAGTCGTCGTTGTGGCGCACCTAGACTGACGACCGTTCGTAGCGTCGGATTTGTTCCAGCGTGCTCTGTACGTTTATCTATCGTTATGCACCTATTGCTAATCTCAACTCGTATCCAGCGTTGGAATATACTCTCGCACCGAAGGACCCCGACGCCACCACCACACATTGTTTTCCATTGCAGATATTGGAGGCGTTGTCCGCATACTATCACCTGCTTGACACCCTCAAGATACCGGCCCACAGGATTGTCCTCATAGGTGACTCCGCTGGCGCACATCTCGCCCTCGCACTGCAGCGCTACCTTCTCGAAAGCGGCCATTTGTCATCTCCGAGAGCCCTTTTACTCCTCAGCCCCTGGTGCGACCTTGCCGTGTATGTTTGCCCATCTTCCTATGATTTCAATGTACTGACGGCACGCACTGTATCCAGGCAAGCAGACAACGTGAAGGGTCTCCTGGGGCCTCTTCCTACGCAGGCCCTTTCCGGACCGTACTTTTCGCCCGCGCTGCACCCGCCACCTTCTCACTGGCCCCCCACGCTTGTATACTCTGGTCCGCAGGAAAACCATGCGTCTTCCATCGCAGAGTTCGTAGCGACACTAGGCGATGCGGGCGCGAAGGTGAAGATATACGAGGCCAAGCATATCCTGCCCCGGTACAGCCATGACTTTTTGATATTCGGATCCGTCGATCAGCATTGGCCGGACGAGGTGCAGCAGTGCTGGACGCGCATTCAGAAATGGCTGGACACGCTCGGTGCTGCGTAATTTTGGGACGACGTGTCCTGTGTCTCCAGATCCCCGCCCCGATGGCGCAAGCTGAGTATTACTATGTACTGTGGATTACTTGACTCAATATTGTACAACTACTCGATTACACATTACGGGTCAACTTCTTGGTACGTCGTCTTTGCGACCTCACTTGATGATCTTGCTCGGAATCCTGACGCCTCATTTAGCATGTCGTATAGCGGGAAAAATCAAGTATACGCACGGTCCTCGCCCCCCGGGGTAATCCACCGTCGCGGGGATCCCATTTCCTGCGTCCAAGCCTTTATCCTGTATCTCCTTCGAGAACTGTCGCCCATACGCTTGCAAATGCTGCAAGTCAATGGCCCCCCTAAACTTCCACTGGACAAGATCCGTCTCCTGAAGAGCTCTCAACGCCCCTTCGACCCACGACCAGCAGTCCCAGCGCGGGTTATCCGCCACCATACGGCGTGCATCCTTAAGCACGGCGTCCACTGCTTTCATCCGGCACTCTTCGGTCTTGCCGAGGAGGACACGCCCAATCATCGACTTGGAGCGCACGCACTCGAACGTGCGCATCTCAAAATTCCACTTGCCAGCTTCGTGCACGGCGTGGAACAGCCCGTGCGTCTTCTTGAGCGAGGTCGGGTCTTCGTCCTTAGGCCCAATGAGGAGTCCCCAGTGAATCTGCCCGTGCGCGAGGCTCCTGCTGTTGTCGTACATGGCCAGGTAGAGGTAGTACTTGCGCTTTTCGTTCATGGTAGGTCCTGGTAGGCTTGTTGATGCTCTCCGCTGGTCGAGGGTGGGGGGCTGTGGATGTCGGCGAGGTGAGTGTTGGTTTGGACCCTCTTGCTAGCGCACAGCGCGGACTTATAAACCGCAGACGCATTGACATCCATCGTGGCTACGCTTGGATACTCTTTGAGTTGGGCTTGATCTTGAATACAGCCGCGTCCTATGTATTGATCGCAGGTGGCCATGAGGTCATAGCGTATACTCTGTATGCCTAATTGTGTGCTTTTTCCGAGTCTTCCTTGTCCCAGGTTTAAAATCAATTCTGGCCCTTTAACTCGGAGTGGTGTAGGCTTTACTAAGATGGCTCTTGGTAAGTACGACAGTCGTACGTCCCTGCCGTACAAGGCATACGCCCATGTCATACACCCATGATCTCAATACTGCTATCAATGCATGGTCGGAGAAAAATATCTATACATAGGGAAGAGGACATTCGTCCTTCCCACCTCCAAAACTCTGCGAGACTGGGAAGAGGACATCATTAACTTCTTCAAAAGAATAGACGTCCGGATGTGCGTTTCGCTACGCTCGGCGTAGTTATAACACATCGATATATTTGCAATATGTGTGAGCATATAGTGCAAGTGCCTTTCAGACAGACATGCGATAAACACTCCTCGGGTGGTCGAATTGCGGCACCCAATGAATGCTAGCAGGTAGAGACGGGACTTTGCTGCGGTGTGAGCAGAAGGAAAGTCCTACAATAGGCCAGCTTTCGTGGGTTCGAAGAGCCCATCCCAGCACTTGAAGCCGACGTCCGAGGTTATCTAACCCGGCATAGGCGTATGAGCGCAGGCGCGGGCGATGGATCCTACATGCGCTGGACTCACGGTCGACGCATTGCACATAACCCGAACGGGTGCTCCCGTCTCTGTCGTCGCGAGAACGTGCTTCGCGACGACATTGGCAGCTTTGAACATTGGCGTAAGCAATGGGGCGTGCCGGAACGCGGCCCAACAGGCACACCTGTATTGGGGTAGAGGTCCAAGATGGCCACCTCTTTGCCGGTCGCGCCTTCGACGGCATACCTGGGAGTCATCGTGTCAGTGTCAATACTGGGCTCTATGGATACTGAATCTCAGACGCACCAGCACGGATCCGTCACGCAGGATCCTTCAACGTAGCCAGGCGTGCTGTGGACAATCATCCGGATCAACACGGTACTTTCGGTGTTCTCAAGTGAAATATACGTACTCGTTGATCGTCCCGACGAAGTTTTCAAATGAGAAATCTTGGATGTGGGTGTTGTTGACGCTCGAAGAATTTGGACGAGCCCCGAGCTATCTCCAAAACGTCCGATTAGACTGCAGGCTGCAACGCTGGAGTACGTATGTCGTACATCCTGATCCCAGTAACTAGTCACGGTGTCAGATGAAAGCGCTCGTATACACAACAAATATCCCACTCACTTTTGCGTGACATAGATCTACGCGCATCGGGTGCAAACGTCAATGTTCTGCCGTGCGCGCCAGGATGACCTGCACATACCGGGAACATCACGTTGTCAAACTGGATATTCTTCCAGGTTACACTTGGGTAGGCTGTTCAAATGGAACTCTTTCTCATGCGCCTAGTGGGACTCACTTTCGGGCGAGCCCGTTGCCACCGGTCCAGCTTTTGAAGCGAGCGGCGTACAATGAGTTTTTCTGAGGAAAGACGGATCAATATGCCGTAGCCATTAACAGCGTACGCAGTCAGCGGGAGCTCAGTCGGTGGAAGAACGACTGGATTAGATTACTGTACCTAACAGCGTACGCAGTCAGCGGGAGCTGTAGATACAGTGTGAGTATGTAGTACGAGTAACGGACGGTAGCATGAACATACCTCAGTCGGTGGAAGAACGACTGAGGGAAGAGAGATGTGGCACGGCCGTACGTAGGAGGTGGTGCGGAGTTTAAAGTGATAGGTAAGTAATGTAAGTGTGTGAATGAAAGTCCGATAGACACGTATACGACAGGAGCTATGCGTACTAAGTAAAGTCAACGTCACCGTATTTCAACACTCCCCCTCAACGAACACGGTCTGATGAGGGGCGAAGCCCAAGGCGTAGTGCGAGTTGCTTGTGACGTTGAGGCCCGAGCGGTTTCGTGAAAATGTCCGCTACATTTTCCTCCCCGGAGACATGCCTGGTCGAGATGAGTTGCGACTGGACGACGTCGCGAATCCAGTGGTACGAGATGTTAATGTGCTTCGTACGGTTGGAAACGTCGTCCGGGTTATTGATCATCTTGATCGCCGACGTGCTGTCAATGCGGAGAGGAGTAGGTGGGGGACGAGGTGAAGGAAGAAGACCAAGCTCGCCGAGGAGTTGTCGAAGCCAAATGATCTCACGCCCGCAATGCGTGCTAGCATAGTACTCGGCCTCGCCCGTAGACAATGCAACAACCGTCTGCTTCTTCGCCGACCACGAAATGCAGCCCCGGCCAATGAAGATAGCGTAGCCGGAAGTTGACTTAGCAGTATCGGGGTCGTTGCCCCAGTCGGCATCGCAGTAGGCGAGAGGTTGATAAGTGCCTTTCCCGCCCACGGTCAGGACGTAGTCGCGGGTGCCCTTGAGGTACTGGAAGATTCGCTTCACAGTTTGCCAGTGAGGCTTGCCAGGATTCGCCATGAACCGTGCAACGCTCTGGACGGCCTTCGAGATGTCGGGCCGAGTGTGGACGGCAATGTGCATAAGCGTACCGACCGCGGACATGTACTTGACATTCCGCATGAAGGCGATGTCCTTGGGTGTCTGCGGTGCTTGGCTTGCTGAGAGGCGCTGGCTGTGAAGCATCGGGGACCATACGGGATGTACGTCCTTGAAGCCGAATTCTTCGAGTGCCTTGTCAATCTTGTGCGTGTGCGAGAACGAGATGGTGCGAGCTTTCAGATCGCGAGTGATCTTCACGCCCAGCAAGAGAGAAATGTCTTGCCCGTCCTTGATTGGGACCTCTCGCCGAATCTCGTCCTTGAGTTTGTTGACAGCAGCAAGAGACAGCCCGAGTCCGAAAATGGCGAGGTCGTCGACGTGAGATGTCACAATGGCGAGGCTGCGGTCGTGCTCGTACCGGAAGAAGACGCACGGGTCAGACCGGCACGTTGTGAAGCCAATGGAGGTCATGATGGACTTCAGCTTGCGATACCAGAGATAGCCGGATTGCCGTAGTCCGTACAACGCTTTACGCAGCCGCCAGACCTTGGTCTCTTGGCCACGCAGCGTGAACCCGGGCGGTTGCTTCACGTACGCCTCTTGGTCGTCCGGCATCTCGCTGTTGAGGAATGCGGAATCCACGTCGACAACGTGAATTACACCGTCCCGCTGTGCAGCGATTGCGCAGATGGCTCGGATGGACTCGGCTTTTGCAACTGGCGCGAAGGTCTCCTGGAAGTCGACACCGGGCTGCTGAGTGAAGCCTTGAGCAACCAGCCTGGCCTTGTAGCGAAGGACGTTGCCATTGGTGTCACGCTTGACCAAGAAGACCCAGCGTGTCCCGATAGGCTTGCGTCCTGAAGGTAGACTGGTGAGTTCAAAACTGCCCAAGGATGCGATCGACTCGAGCTCTTGCGCCATCGCAGCTTCCCACTCGTTCGCCTCCGGGGATGCCATTGCCTCCTCGTAAGTTTGCGGCTCATCTCCAGATACGGCAAAAGAGTGTTCGAGGAGGGCACCGATGAGATTTGCGGACTCATCCTCGTCGTTTGACGGCTCTGACTCGGAGAGCTCAGTCAGGTCAGACTCAGACGTATCCGCCTCCGGAACTGTTGAACTTCTGTGTCTACGGCTGTGCCGGACCGGGAGTGGCAGTGATAGTGGCTGTGCGTCTACCATACGCCAGCATGGACTTTCCTACTTACCATATACGTACATTCTTTTGTTCTGTACTTACTTGGCATCCTGCCATCCCTCCATATGATTCTGGTACGTTCTACGATGTTCCGGACTATTCTAGACAGCGTCCGGATTACTCGCATTACTCAGCCATGGACTATCTGACCTTATGTCGATTATGCTCCCTTACTCAGCGTTATTCATCGCTCAGTCAGCGTCCTCTGGACGTCACATGCTCTCTTCTTATACGCTTACTCATCGTCCTCCCCAGTAGTATATAAGGAGGACTCTGCAGGCCTCTGCTCTTCAGTCGTTCTCTCACAGACTGAAGAGTAAGTCCCACACTACCTATGCTTCCTTACATGTTTACTTACTAGTACTTGTAGCCTCTCTTTGTG